GTGCCATCAGGCTTGCTTGGCATATAGTAAAAAAACCCCAAAACCCTAATAAAACCTAAAACCCATGGCTGTTGAGTCAATTGCAACCCCTAACTGCCTTTCATGGAGATTTTGAGGCTGTAAATCTCTTCAGGAAGAAAACTGCCCACCTGTCTCCCACAGAGCACTGCTGGATTTGAACCGCTGACTTTCCAGTTAACAGTGCAACACATAATGAACCACGCTATCACACAGTGATGATCAGTTTCTGACAGGAGTTAATAGGAACTCATAATGAGGATTTTCTTCCCCCTGTACAGAATTTAGACTCTATAGCTTCAAGTTATCTAAATCTACAAAATAATATAGGGAGCGCTGGTGGCTTAGTGGTAAGGAGTTGGGCTGCCAATCCAAAGGCAGGCGATTTGAATCCGTCAGCTGCTTTATAGAAGAAAGATGGAAAATCTTCTCACGCGTAATATTCTGCCTCTACAAACCTGCTGGAGTATCAGCTATGGGTCGGTTCAACCTTGACAGTACATAACCACCACCATCCAATGATAGAATGAATTCAAAATGGGAGTTAGCTACGTTTCAATGTAAATAAATTTGGCGTTAGTATTAGTTGCCATCGAATTGATGCTAGGTCCCCTGTTAGAATAGAAACCCCTCACCGCCCTTTACTGGCCTTGATTCATGGTCTCCAGGCCTTTACTCCCCGCGGTATCGCCAGTCCACTCAAGGTCTGGTGTCCAGACCTCATGTGAAGGGTGAAAGGGTGAATTCAGCCTTTCCTAGCACATCTTTTACAAGTTCACCTCAACCTTCAGTTAGAGAAAAAGACCTGGACACAGAAACAGAGACCAGAGGCTGCTGATCGACTAATTTATAAAATGTCACTATTTTTATTTTGTCTTTGTAAAGAGGTGTATTTCAACCAGATTGTAACAAAATTACCACAGCTTATTCCAAAAGAAAATCTGAATACAAGAGATTTTAGAAAAATTAAACATATTTGTTTAAAAAGTCTATTGTGTAAACCTTAACAGAGGAGGGCAGTTAAGATAATACTATGCATTCTGGGGCCAATTTGCATACTTCTAGGCCTTATTTACACACAGAGTCCTGAGTCCCTGGATACCCCACCTCACGACCCCCACAGGCAGCCTTCAGAATCCCTCTGGCTAGATGGGGGTGAGCCTGTGAGTGAGTCCCAGAGCCCAGGGCCCCTGCACGGAAGGACTCCTGGCCCCAGGGAGGTTGAATGTTCTGTTAGTTTTTCTGCTAGTTGGTTGTTCAGGGACCGAGATATGGAGGTTCCAAGGCGGACAGTCTCCTAAGAACATTTTTTGATCCTAAAATTCCTAATAGCTCTGTCCCCCGTCCTTGGGGCTCCTGGGTTGATGGTTGGCATCTCTGAGGGTGTGTGCACCCTTTCTCCTGATCCCAGAGTTTACAAGGACACTGTGCTCTCTCCTAATAGTGACCCCCACGCCCTCCGCTGGCCTCTCCTAGTGGCTCTGGGGTCTCGGCTGTCAGATTGGGGCGGTGGGCTCGTGATGTCTAATGGTGATGCCTGAGGTCTGGGATGGTTTTTCCTCCTCAGTAGAAACAAGTGGGAACTTTGAGAAGTTCATTAGCATTGCAGCTGTTTGGATGCAGGGACGAAAGGAGGGTCTGTGAGATTGGGAAGTACCTAGCCAGGCCCCTGAGGTGGCAATGGCTGGTGCTGAGGACTCCCAGGGTGGCTGGTGGGCTGGAGTGACCAGGTGCCCACCCAGCACCATGCCCGCTTCCTATCGATCCAGCCCTTCAAGCTTGATTTTAGAAAACATCTTCAAGAGCGGGTGTTACAGAAACAGCGAATGAACTTTTTGGCACGGAAATGTTACATAAAATATACAGTGCTATAATTGTGCAAAATTAGCACAGAAGCCGCTCTGCAAAGCAAATATTTAATGTTGGCTTTAATGAAATAATGCACAATATTGTGAAAAGCATTGGTGACGAGAGACCTTGTTAGACGTGGCCGCCGCCTCCTGCAGCAACCCGTCTGCCTTTGGTTGGGAGGGACTCCAGCAAAGTGGAAGCAGGACAGGCCTCTGGGCCCCTCAGGGGGCGGGTACCCACAGGTCTTTCTCAGGCGGCCTGAGGGATTCCAGCCTCAGCTCCGGGTGAAACCTCAGCCTGTTCTCTTGTGCCAAGATGCTTCCAGGGTGGACACTGAACGTCTGGGCGTGGACAGAGAGGCCAGACTGAGGCCCAGAGGGAGGTGGCTGTGGTGAGGGGATGGAGACGACTGCTGAGGAGTCCTGGCTGGGAAGATGGAGTTGCAGTCCCAAGAGGACTTTGAATGGATGGGACGTGAGAGGCCGAGGTCTGGGATCCTGGGGCTGGGTCCTCGCCCCAAGTGGAGAGAGAGAGGTGGCCAACTTGCCCAGGACGGCCTGGCTCTGGTGGAAGATAGATGTGTTCTGAAGAAGGCAGTGTGGCATTTGGTGTCCACAGTAGGCAAGCTGGGGGGGTCTTTATTCCTGTTTCAACTCTGGAGGGTGGTCCTCCTGCATCAGCTACGGCTTATCAGTGCTGAGTCGAGTCCCCTGACCCCTGGGCTGTGAGGGTGTCCCCTACATCCCGGGGAAACATCTCATCTCCGTGGTTACTGAGCAGCTCATCTTAGCCTGGGGCTGGAGCAGAGCCTGGTCCTCTCACGCCCTGGTCTCTGGCCCGTTGTACTCAGACCCCCTAAGGGCCTGGGTGTGAGGCTGTGCTAATAATGAGAAGTCTTAGCTCTTGGGAAGGGGAGTCTCATTAGCTGTCTCCTAAAGGAAAGGGGACATCTGTGCTGGGGGAACGTCCTTCCACTGTGGGAGGAGCCAGATGCGAAGCCCCTCCCTCTGCTCCCTCTTGCGCTTTAACATCAGCGAGAGGCCTGTCCTACTTTACCTGAGTTTTGTTTCATCTGAAGGAAAGTCAGAGAAGCATGTGAGGTGATGCCAGGGGCTGGACCTGGCGATGTCCAAGGTCTGGTCCTTGCTAGAGCAGACTGTCCCTGTGGTGGGGAGGATATTGTAATGGTCACTCCTTGGAGAGAGGTGAGGGGGACACAAGAGGAGGGCCCAGGTATATGCCAACCTTATTAGCCACAGACAATCTTCTTGGCTCGAGGAGAGAGAAGTACTTGGTCCTTTGTGCCGGGAAGCCTTTTCTCCAGAAGGGTCACGGGGGTTCAGAGGGAAGGGGAGAGCAATCTTTGAGGGGACGCAGGTTCAAGGAATGTGACCACATGCTCCCAGCTCACTTGGCCAGGCCTGGGGAGGGGGGGGAGGTTGGCCGTTTTAGGAACTAGACCTTCCTTATGCATCTGGGGCCTGCAGGGTGTGTTAGCCCAGGAGAGCAGGTGGGTATGAACACGGGGCAGAGCCATCGTGGGCTGTGAGGGTATGTGCCAGGAGCAAGTCCTTGAGGAACGGTGGGGGTGTGCGCGTCACAGCCCAAATCAGAGGGGCTGGGCCGACCACCGCAGGGCTAACTCCAGGGATGCTGCACCGTCACAGAATGGGGTGCTGCAGGGTGTCTGTACAGCACCCAGTGGCCCTAAGAACGTTTGGGGAGAGGAGGATCAGCTCCAGCCACGTGCTGTCGGAGGTGGAGAGGTGGTTTTCCGTTTCTCAGAGCAGCTGAGCGTGGCCTGTTCCTCAGGGGGCAGCTTTCAGGTGAGGTCTCCACGGCCCAGCATCCTGCGGCCATCAATGTGGAGCAGCAGGCCGCCTCTGCCTCACCTGGCAGTGCCCACCTGGCGAAGTCTCTGCTGGCTGGGGCGTCACTGCCTTGGTTTCCCCTGAGAAGCCGTCTTCTAGTGAACACCTTCCCAGAGATCTCCTCCAGTACATGGTCACCAGCTTAGCCTGTCTGCTTGACTGACGGTCACGTGCATGAACGGCACCTGGTCAGCCTGTCATTGACTGTTGGGCACTATGACTTCACTAGTCAAACCTCCTCAGGTCCAGAGTCCCCAGCCAGCCAGCTCTGTGTGGCTGTTTCCTAACCTCTTTTCTTACTCAGCTTCTTCAATGCAAATGTCTCAACTAGTCAGTAGCTGAGGAGGGTGGCTTCGGGTGGGACATGGCTCCATCATTCTGATGTCACACGACCTGTCCTGGCCCCTGAGACCCTGCTCTGGAGACAGAGGGAGAGGTGTCTGGGGACAGGTAGGACTCTGGTCCCCGGGAGCACAGGCGAGTAGGCTGTTGGGGCCTGGAGAATGTGTCTATAGTGAGAGTGGTGGCCTGTCCGAGGGGCGAGTCTCGTCCAGAGAGCGCTGTGTGGGGCCAGGAGTGCTAGAGCTGGGTCAGAGGCCTGAGGCTGCTGGAACCGTCCACAGCAGGTCCCTGAGCAGTCTCTCTACAGCCCCGAGGTCGATCCACTGACTTTCAGATGAATCTGGGCTCCAACTCAAGGCCACCAGCCTGGATGCCTGGACCCCTCACAAGGTGTAGGTGACTTCGTGGCCGTACTGAAGCCCATGCTGGGGTGGGGGGCCACCAAGAGCCAGAGCGGGCACCACAGATGATGGCTGTTGGGCAAGAAGGCCGCAGGGCATCCTTCTGGGAATGATGGTGGCAGACGTGGGGCCAGAACAAGACCCCCTGTGTCCCCGGTTGTAGCAGGCAGTTATGTTTAAAAGGGGGGAGAGTAACAGTCGTTCTGATTCCTGTGAGGGAACGAGTCGAGGAGGATTCTGAGGAGCTTCTGACGCTGGAGTGGAGCAGCCAGCAGCGGCCACCCCACCCAGCTGCCCCTGCCACCCTGGTTGGGACGGGTGGGTGTCCCTCGATGCCAGGCGGAGTCTGTGGAGCAAAGGGCCACCTTGCTCTGAGACAGGGATCGTGGGCAGCTTAAAGACTGACCAGTTTAATCAGGTGTCCAGTGGGGAGGGTGTGGTCTCGGGGTTCACCAGGTGGATGTGGTGGTCAGGGGCAGCCGGAGCGGTGCGTGGGGCCCGCATTGGTCTGTTGAGGTCAGAGGTCGCCGCTTTGGGGCTCCACGTTGCGTGTCTCCCTGGGGTGGCTGCGGGACAGCTTGGGAAAGCGGGGTGCTGTTTTGGGGCGACTGTTCTTGTTCAGCGGCTCTCCGGGAGGGGTGATGTCACTGTAAGACAAACACATCTGATTAAGTCAGGGCTCTAGATTCAAGTGACCACAGGGGGCGCCAGACGGGAGACCATGAGTGGTCACAGGTGTAGGGGACAGCGGTCTGCCTCTCAGCTTTGGGCAAATGGGAGGTCTTCACTTCTATAGTAATTTCCATCTTGTCAAAGCACTATTAGGGCCTGCCCACCCACAGCTGTGTCTGGCCTTGCTCCTGGGACTACAGGCTGCGGGTCCTATTTTAGGGGTAGAACATTCTAGCGTTGGCTTTCGTTCATCTTTTAGTCACCTTGCAGCCACCCCACCCTTCAGTCAAAGGAGAGGTGATGCTGTGAGATTGCGGGGTTCACGAGCATAAGTCAGAGCAATTTCCATCTTGTCAAAGCACTATTAGGGCCTGCCCACCCACAGCTGTGTTTGGCCTTGCTCCTGGGACTACAGGCTGTGGGTCCTATTTTAGGGGTAGAACATTCTAGCGTTGGCTTTCGTTCATCTTTTAGTCACCTTGCAGCCACCCCACCCTTCAGTCAAAGGAGAGGTGATGCTGTGAGATTGCGGGGTTCACGAGCATAAGTCAGAGCGGGGGTTTCTCCTGAGGAGTCTACAGTATAAAACTGGCCAAGGTTGGGACCAACCAGGAGCAGGGGTTTACTAATACTGTTTGGGAACTGTTACGTGAAAGGGCAGTGTGTGGCCGCTGAGGAGCTTTCTAGAACATGCTCAGAACACAGGTTACACCAGAACACCTGCAGCATGCAGAGAGACCCCAGCAGACATGCTCTTCCGTCCGCTCACCATCTGTTGTTCATGCCGTGGCTATCCCAACACCAAGGAAGGTCCTGGGTTCACCCCCCCCACCCCCGACAGGGGATGGAAAGAAACCTGCCCAGCTCCAGGCCCAGCGTTTGTTCTGTGACCGAGGTGACGCGTGCGGCCAGGGAGTCCCTGAGAAGCTGACAGGCTGATGCTGAGGGAACAGCGTGGTGGACGGCCGGGACAGGAGGCCTTGGCTCCCGGGGGTGGGGTGAGGGCTCTGTGTGTGTACATGCGTGCTGCGGGGTGGCCCATGACTCTGCGGCACTGGAAGTGACCCCACTCAGAGAAGATTGGAAGGGGCTGCGTCTGGGCACGCACAGAGCATACGGCTGTCAACACGGAGGGCGGACCTGGCCCTGCTTCTGGTCTTAACAAATCACCACCAATTTAGTGGCTTCAAACAACATTTATTATTTTACAAATCTGGAGGGCAGAGTTCAAAATGGGCTTCGCGGTCTGAAGTCGAGGCCTTTTCTGGAAGCTTCCATGCCTTGGCTCACACCCTCTGTTCTAGGCACACTGTCAGGAAAATAGCAGCTCCCTTCTCCCGCAGCCTCTAACCCGCTCAACTTCTTCTAAGGACTCTTGTGATTACATCGGGTCCCTGATAATCCAGGATCATCCCACATTGCAAGATCTCTGACTTAATCCCATCTGCACAGCCTTTCTCAGCACCTCCGGTGAGCCTGAAGTGCAAGGTCACAGAACAGACATCCTCACAATGCGGCCGCCTGACAGAACCGTGAGCATGTTACGTCATGTGAAATCACACACACAAGGACAAATGTGGATCCCACGGGTGTGGAGTATCGTTGTCACTGTTATGTACCATCGAATCAGCACAGCCCACAGCTGACCCTCCAGTGGGTTTTCAGAGGCGGTAAATCACATAGGAGGAGATGCTTCTCTTTCTCCTGCAGAGCAGCTGGTGGATTTGAACCACCTGACTTTTGGCTGGCAGTGCAACTCCTTACTATTGGGCTACCAGAGCTCACCATGAAATATCTAGTAGAGGCCAATACAGACAGCCGAGTGGTGACAGTGGGAGACCGTTAGTTTATAGGTTGGTTTGAAAGCTTTCAGAAGTGGGTAGTGGTGGTAATGTTTGGTGAATGTCACTAAATTCCATTTTAAAAGAACATGTTGTTAGGTGTGGTTGACTAAAACAGTTGACTTTACGAATAGCAGACTGAAAACCTGCTCTGTCATGCACTGGGCCAACGTCAAGGTCACTGTTGTAGCCACTCTCAGTCCAGCTTGGTGAGGACTTTCCTCTCTTTTGCCAAATCTCTGCTTCCCCAGCATGATACCTCTGCCCCGTCCTGACAACAGGTAAGCACGCTAAGCAGGACATTATGATTTCAAGGGGGCATGTCCAAACCTACACAGGGTCAGTCCCAGAGGCGGAGGTGCTGGCCTGGAAACCGAGGCAGCTGCCTAGACATTGTGGATGGAGGCAGTGGAGGGCGTGGTTTTGGGAGGAAAAGAAAACAGTCACTTTTCCAGACCAGGGAGCCTTAAACGAACCCAATCCCTCCATGCAAGTCCAGTGACTCCCATCACGATGGTCTGCCTGGGAGATTCCTTGCCCTCGTTCAAGTTCAGGATGCAACTTTAACAAGGAAATGAAAATGCTCTTTTACTGACTGTCTTATCTGTGTGTAGAGGGAAAGCATTGACCTTGAGCAGGGCAGGGCCATGAATGATTTCTGAATGAGCAAAGCCTTGGACCACACACACGCCTCCAGCAGCTGACCCTTAGCACATTAGTCCCCTTTTCCTGTCACAGGCCAGTGTTCCGCAGCCCCTGCTTCCTGCACGGGCTGGGAGAGCTCTGTGTGTACGTCAAGGGGCGGACGTGGCCAGGCAGGCTGGGGTGTGAATGCTCCTTTGAAAACTAAGGCCCTCAACATCTCCCTTTTCACGTGGTTCAGGGTTTGTTCAGATACCCTCAAACCTGCAGCTGCTACCCTCTGTAACGAGTAATCTGTCAAGGGATTCAGAGGTGACCAGCTCTTGGGAGGGCCTGGGAGAGGCCTAGCCCAGGACGCTGGTCGCCTTCCTTGTGTTTGCTGATAAACAGAACTGCTGTGCAGGGCAGGAGTGCTGTGGGCACAAATGGCTAATGTCCTCACTCCTGACCAAGAGGCTGAAGGTTTGAGTCCTCCTTGAGGCACCTCAGAAGGCCTGGAAATGTTCTAGAAAGTTAGCCACTGTGAACCCTGAGGGAAGTGGTTCTGCTCTGACACACAGAGGTCAGGTCAAGGTTGGCTCACTGGTGGGTGGTTTGGGGATGTCGTGTTGGACGGTGGCCCAGCGTGGGGGCAGAGGCTGTCACATGGGACAAGGACCACACGGACCCCCCCCCCCCCAGAACCGTTGTAAAGATCTGTGTGTGAAATTGAGGTAAAAGCCACCAATTGGCTGGCCATGACTCACCCTGTGTCTGTCTGAGTTTCTGGGATCGAATACAGGCAGGGTTTTTAGAATCTCCCTGGATTAAATCTGAGGGTGATGCCTGGCCTGGGGTGACTACTAAAAAAGTGAGATCTTTCCGGAGACCGGCAAGAGTTTTAAGAGTCATGTTTTCACCACATGGATGCATCATGACAGTGGAGGGCTTCCTGGGTGAGGAGGAGCTGACCTGCTTGGCTGAGAAGTGTCTCGAATGAAAGAAATGTGGGGTGGGGGTGGGGAAGGGCAGTGACACAGTGTGGGTTTGAGGCTGGCAGAGCCGGCCCAGCTCCTTCACCCCAAGTGGTGGGGAGAAAGATGGCGGGGTGAAAGGCCTGGAGTCCATAACACAGACTTTTTTTGGGTCAAAACCAATCTGATGGAGGCAGTTTTGTGGTAAGGAGCTGCACTGCCGGCCCAAAAGTACATGGTTCGAATACACCTGCTGCTCCGTGGGAGAAAGACGGGCAGCTTCCTCCTACCTGATTTACTGCCTCTGAAAAGCTGCTGAAGGGTCAGCCCTGGGTTGGTTCTAGTTCACGATACACAACAATAACCACCACCACTGTATTATCAGGTGGCACAGTCCATAGAGAGGTGTGCTGCTAACTCAAGGGCCTGTGCTTCTGTGGCATCAAGTCCAACATTCATGGGAGAAAACATAAGCACTCAGAGGGCTGGACAGTGACTAAGGACGACAGAAGAAGAATTGGTGCCTTCAAGTTGAGGTGCTGGAGAGTAAGAACCATCAAGAGAACAGTCTGTCTTGGAGAGGGTCAACCCGTACTTTTACTTGGAGGCAAAGATATTTTAAACTCCGTCTTACATACTTTGGGCACATGGCCACGAGGAATTTGGTCCTTGGAGAAGGACATCATGCCCAGAAGGGTGGAGGGACAGCACAGGAGCAGCAGAGCCCAGATGAGATGGATTGACACCGTAACTGGGGTAATGTGGTTTAGAGGTGTGTCAGTCAGTGAGACTGGCTCAGGCTTCAGAGCTGTTGTACACAGAGTCACTGAGTTGCAGGCGACTCGATGACACACAGCAACACGTCAGCTATGAGTTAGAACCAACTCAACAACCGTAAGATCAACGTCAAGGTCCCAGGTGCCGTCTAAGCTGGACTCCTGCCCTGGCGGTTGATGCTACAGAAGATGATGGAGCTGATCCGTCTCGATAGAGACTGCAGCCAAGAAAATCCCAAGGAGCTGGTCTGCTCTGAACACGTGTGGTTGCCATAATGCTATCGACCTGGGCTCAGTTCAGGGATAACTGTAGTTGTTAGGTGCTGTCCAGGTTCTTCCTGCCCTATGCTGCACCACGCTTCTCATCTCAGCCATGTTCAAGGCCAGGGTGGTGGTCACTGTGTCAGTCTATCTTGCTGAAGGTCTTCTCCTCTTCCACTGACCGTCTACTTTACCTAATATGACATCTTTTTCCAAGGGTCTTTCTCCTGACATCTTGCCCAAAGTCTGTGAGGTTGAGTCTCACCTCTAAGGAGCACCGAGGTTGCACTCCCACCAAGACATATTTGTTTCTTTTGACAGCCCATGAGACGTTCAATACTCTTTGCCAACATCACAGTTCAAGGACATTGGCTGTCCCTTGGTCTTCCTTCTTCATGATCCATCTTCTAGATGCGTAGGAAGCAAGTGAACACAGCACTGCTTGTGCCAGGCATATGTTGGCCTTAATTTGATATCCTTGTTAGCTTTTTGGAGAGGCACC